ACTTTGCTGTTAATCATCGTAACAACGCGTATTCTACAGACTACCTCAACATACTCACTTTGTATATCCTACATTTTTGTTCATAAGTGATAGTAGTAAGCTTGAACTTGTGATGATTATTCCTAATTACTCAGGCTGGACAGAAAAACCACCTAACCAGTGACCTACATTCACTAAGCACTTGATGTATCTTGATGCTAGTGAAAACGTGTATATTCTGTTGGAGAAGGTGTGGTTTGTGCAACAAAACGTTCAGAAATATCTTGTTTTGATTTTCTAAACACTCTGAGAATATACTGAAATACATTCTTAAAGCGTAAACAGCTGTATAAAAAACAATTGGAATCGAACATACAGTTGAACGTGAAAATATTAGTACACGTCAGGAAGTCCATACTCACCTATAAGATCGTGATCAAGTGCCTAAGTTCAACATAAATGGTTTAACAAAATGCTGCTTATGGTATCGTCCTACTTTCATCTGTGATATTTCACGATGAAACTTCAACTACTCATAAGTAGTCTCATACATTATCGAGAACGCCGAGTTTCAGCATACATACATACATACTGTGTTTGATTGATTATATTAGCAATATACAACCACTTAGTTGTACAAGTAATGGGACGTTACTCTCATTAAATTATTCAGGCTGCTTTCTACATTCAAAATATATAGCCATGTGGTGAGGATTTAGGTAAAATTTTCTGTTTTTAAGTGATAGTAGCCAATTCACGTTAGATAAACCAAATTATTAAGTATACCACATATTTCAAGCATTATTCAGCCCACGGCAATAAATTATTCTACTCAGTTGTTGATAAAGTTCCTCATCCTAAATAAGGCCGTGATGACAACAAATAAATCGTCCTGGATGAGTATATGCAAAGGCATCTAGTGAATTCATACTTTTACAATAACTTCAGATTTGATTTAAAGTGGTAGGAGAGGAAGATCCTCACATAGGCTTAGACTTACTTTTGATTGAATTCCATGAGAATAACTGGAAGTAAAAACTCTCATGCTAATTGTATGTTATCGTTTGATGCACGTACCAAAAATAGAAATTGATTAGCTCATTTTGGCTGAAAGAGTCCTATAGACACTAACCTTGAGTGAATGCTGAGTGCCTATAGTCTCACACTTTCAGATGGTGCCGTTTCTAAGGCATATCAATAGTTTAGTTATTCAAAATTACTTCATTAAAGATTCTACTAAATTTTACTTCCCAGTGGTGAAAACATTATTCACTGCGTTAGCTTCAACCAAGAGCATTAGAGTATTTACCAATGTTTTAGAACGGTGTATTCATCGCCACAACAAGCATGTATAACACTGCTCATTCACAAAAGTCTTGCTAATTTCGTTTACTATTGTGTACTCATTGTGTAAACAGTTATAATAGAAGGTTTTGGGTTAATGAAGACTATCTGAATGAACAAGATTGTACTGACTTTCTACTGACGATTGGTAAAAACTATTTGAAATGTCTTGATTCCTGGGAATTTTCAGTACTTACATTTACGCCCCACTGAATTCAAGCACTTGTGTTGTCAGAGGTAATATCTACAACTTTACCTGGCTAACAGTGTATTCTGGAATGCCTCATATATGCTGTAACAACACAAAAATATGGACATGGACTCACAAACATTTAAGAGCCTATGAATCGAAAGCCGAATGTAAATCAGACAACAGTCCTATTCTGTAGTATATTGCTCTGTCAGGTCATACAATACTCAAAAATGCTGATTTATTGTAATGCAAAAAGAAAATGAAAGCTATGGTAAACCAGTTCGATTCCAGTTTTTCTGTATAACATAAGCTCTAGCTGCTTAGAAACCAAACTTATTCAGCAACACTTTGAACTACATCTATCTTTTGATATTTGTCCTCTTTAAAATTTGATAACCTTCAAACTGAGGTCTCTAATATACTACTATGTTTTTAGTTTGCCATTCTAAGGTTTTCGATTCCAATCTACGTTTATATGCAATGTTTGTTTGCAGTTCCCACAGTAATTCTAAACTACCAATTAACAATAGTGTTATGCTGAAATTTTATGGGAGTAGTCTTGTTTCTGTGCAAAATTTTAATTGCTGATAAGTGAATTCCTGCAAAGAATCGCTGAAAATTTCACCAGTTTTCTTAAAAGTTCAAATTTTTGGAGTAAACCCAATTCCCTCCTTAGAGTTATGCTTGATAACATACTCTGAATGCAAAGACACATTTTATTCCCTATATCTAAGCTGCTAATGCAATCAGTCTGGTTACAGTCAGTGGCTTCACAGGTTACTTGTATGTCTTGGTATGGTCTGATGTCTTTAAAAACAAATCGTTTTTAAGTTTTGCAAGAGGAAATAACTAGTAATGCTCAGGAGGATATTATTGATAAAATTTCACAATCTTTTCAAGCTATGTCATATCAGTTGTGAAAAACTAACTTAGAGTCCACTGAATAATAGTAAATTTGGTAGGAAAGTAAATGAGTTCAGCATTTCATATCCCTATAAACTGTTTACTGCTGGCTAGCAGTGGAATCCAGGAAGCTCATCTCGTCCTGTTTGGGACTTGTCAATTAGATCTACTTGAACTCAGCACTTCTAGCTACCACCAAGCAAATTTCAGCATAATCAATAATCAGACAATATTGCGGCACCGTAAACGAGCTTATATACCAATAGAGGTTTATCACTTCCATCCGGGATAACTGCGGAAAATCTCGTTACTATTTCTTCAGTATGTATGTATGTATGTATGTATGTATGTATGTATGTATGTATGTATGTATCAAGCTGCTTTAGCTGTTTAAACAACAGAAGTTTTAAAAAAACACAGTTACTCTACTCCTGTGAAGTAACTTTTTATGCGGATGACCTCTAAAGCATTATCCAGTGGATAGTGCCACAGAATCTGTCAGTGTTTTTTTTCCTCAAGGTGTTTAGTAATTCATATGATTTCCGCATGTTTATCAGTTTACTCTACTTTGAAAAACGAATAGTTAATCAAGAGATTAGATGATGATAAGTTCGAAGTGAGAAAATACCTTTCTCAAAACAAAATTCTCTGAATTTCGGCTGGCTTCTTTACCTGTAAGACGACTACATTCAAACCGATGCATCTATGATAGTCTTTAGTTACCTAATGAGCTTTGTTGATATTACTTGAACATTCAATAATTTTGTCTATGACTTCTGGTGCCCTCATAGTGGCTCCCGATAAAGTTTTATTCGGCGGTGGTACAATTCTTATTTTTTCGTCACTTCCATGTGTATTCACCAGTTTAAATGCTCCTGTGGAAACAGTTATATCGGGCATACGATTAGGCAACTTAACCAACGTATTACCGAACACCTGCTTTCGTGTTTGGGAAAAAGAAAGTTTACATCTACGAGAAGCTCTACTCTGTTGCATTTAGTTAGTAGTGATTACAAAGTGAATAAGACGAAAGCGTCTAAAGTGATTTAAGCATCTCACCTAACCTTTTCGATGAATTTGGAATTCGCCCTCTACACACAACTGAGACTATAGTAATTCAAATGAACAATCCGAAGCTCTGTATTCAGAAAAAATGATTTACAGCCTCTATTCCTTATATGGCCTGGTAAAACTTACCAAATGACCTTACTTATTAACCACAAAACGCACCTTTTTCCCTTTTTACTTTTATTTTGTTTTGACCCGTCTTTCCCACCACTAGCATATTCGCATCCAAATTTTATTTATTCACTGCCTTCGTCCTGCAGTATCACACAAATATTGGTTCTTTTCCTACTTTGTCTGTCTGTCTATCTGAGCCCCTATTTACATAGTCATGCCATTATATTATGATCCACTTGGTTGTGGCTAGCGGAGGAATCTAGGGTGCGCGTTTTGTGCAAGTCTGAACTACTCAGCTATATGTGTCTACATCCCGGTGAATGATGTTGTCCCCACTGAGATCCGAACCTCGTGCTCGTCGCTCCAAACACCAAAGCGTTGTACAAGAGGTGGCTATCGTGTCTCAGTGGCCTAGTAGATAACGCGTCGGCATTTGAAGCAGGGTTACAACGTTCCAGTCTCTATGGGACGACATCACTCCACACTTAGGTGCAGGTAAATCCAGCTGACGAATTCCAGATAGGATGAAACGAGCGTTCTGGATTCATCTGCTAGCCACAACCAGCTAAATTATCATAACAAATATTCCAGCAATATCGAGGCTTTCGCATAAGAACCCATATGCCAACAGAGGCTGAACAGTTCGATCCAGTTCAACAACGGAGAATTACAAGCATATCAAGAAATAGTATTGGTATTATCCTTTACATAATCCATGTTTTTGTTATCATTGACTTTAAAAGTACCTTGATTGGTTGATATTTTATCAATATGTTGAAAGCTATGCACATTAGAGTGAAGCATTATGAGATCTTATTGAAAAGAATATTTTTAGAAAAATTCGTTCCCTTTATAAACTTCGACAAAACAATAAGAAGACGTAAACTGTCTGAACAATATTGTTCGCCTTAATGTCTAGTTAACATATGGTTCACTGACCATCATTGTAAACTCTTTGAATGGAATGAAAGTTTTCAAACATTCTGCATTCCATAGGTTCTCTAATTCCCCTGTATTGAGGCTGGTTTCTCCTATCTTCTGCACAGAATACTTATACGGTTTCTTCAAATGGCTAACCATGTAACTGGTGAGATTAGTGGAATGGAATTTCGGAACGCATCGATCAGTCCTATCAAAGATAATAACTTAACGCGAATCCAGTGCAGATTAGTCAATTAGGAGACTAGCTCAACAAAATATTTCTGAATTATTATTATTATGTACAAGATTTATAGTATTTTTCTTCCATACAAATTCTTGATAAGTGCTTGAGACGTGCACAGCGATTATATAGAATCTTAAAATTTTATGAAAACATCTATAAGATTTTGAAGCAGAACCATTTCCATCTCCACAAGTGGCATCATTCTGTTAACAGAAAATGAAATTTTTTTCTTTATTAAGCTTTTATTTATTTAAATGTTTTAAACTGTAGTTTCTAATTACAAAATGCTGCATTTCTTTGTACGTTTCCTCTCTCTACTCCTCAGTGTTCGAACTGTGTATTCTGCAAGTTATAAAAAAAGAGGAGAACAATACACTGTATAATGGTACTGAAAAATATTTCACTGGTAATTCCTCTCACCAACAAAACAGATGATTCAAGAAGAGTAGAATGCAAATAAAGCAGATCAAGACGTTAGAAGATGGTGGTCGTTGAATTTGAAAGAAAATTTCATTTACTGGGGGATTCAGGTTACCTAGGTCATGAATACCATTTAAGAATTTCATTAACTGATGGATATTTAAGTGAGATGTAGTATTCTTTATGCATCACATCTTCATGATGTTACATTCTACTAGTTCGAATCCAAAATAATATGCAATGCCACTCATAAAATTCAACCCTTGCAGTACATCATTTAGAAGGGTGAGGAACATTTTTATGAAGCAAAATGTTTCCCCCAGTAGTTCGGCGCTACTAACCAATAAATTTATTGCGAAAAGAAAACAGCTATAGATAAAACTTAGATAGTGATGTTGAGACTTTCTACTCTGATGACATACATACTATAAATCAATTACATAACTGTTAGACAGTAATGCATTGTTGAAATGCTTAGTAGTCAGTTAGGTAAAACAACCTATGTGAACATGAAACTAACGCCTGAAGGCTCTATCTGAATTCACTGGATCTCGTAAACGTGCTATTTTGCAACTTTTACAAAGACTAGAATTTAGGCTTCATAAACACTAATTAAACTTATCGGCTAATCATTTTCAACAACTTATTATAACCAAAGCGAATATGAGCTTGAAGTATACGTTAACTGTCAGCTTTATTTCTCGAGTAATATCCACTACAGATTCATAACCAGTCATTGTATAATCTTCCCTTCCTTAACTTGATTAAAAGTCCAACAAGAATCTCACGCTTCATCTTTTATCAGACAGTATAACCCTGAAGTAGGGGCCAATATTATCTCCTTTTCCCAGGCAATTCATTCCAATAATCTGTAAAATTTGTAAACAAAATTTGATTCTTTTTACTGTTTGTTGATATGCTTGTAATTCTCCGTTGTTATACTGAATGGAATTGTTCTACAGCCGTTGGCATATCGGCTCCTGTGTGGATGCCTCGATATTGGATGAATATTGATTAGGATAAGTTAGTTCGTTTGTGGCTAGCAGAGGAATCGAGAACGCCCGTTCGCTCGTACCTAAGACCCGCCAGATGAATGTAATATGTCGGTCTCACAATAGCATGTATTTTTTACTAGACAGTTTCAAATGAGTATTCTACCATTTCAGTGCGGTCCACCAATTTTAGTTTTGTTTTTAGTCTACTTATAAACATATCAGTAAAGTGTAATTTGAAACCGAAATAATTCTTCATGAGTCACTGGAATTTTAACGATCGTACTCATTAATTCAGTGACCGTCTCAACAGAAATAATTCGATATCAAGGAATAGATATTTCGTAATTATGGCTAATATTCCAGGTTTATCATAACACTTAGTGTCCATCGTAGAATGAAGCTGGTTCTCCTATTTCTTTCGACTGTAGTGTGTTCGAACGTTAACATATATTCTGTTGATATTCCGAGTGATTTCTCGTTACATTTGGAACAAACCGATTGAACGTTTGGGACACGAACCATAAGAGGAATAAAATTTCCCAGTGCAAGGTAGTTCAAGCTGGCTATTTGATTCTGATGACAAGTGGAATGCGTGTTCTTGATTCCTCTTCTGACCGTTTCCCTAAAGAATTCAGTTGTGTTCACTTGGAATCTGTTATGGTATATTTCACTCAATACAAAACATGATTTTCATTCTCATTTATTACGATGACATTCTGTTCCACTTGCCTCACTACTTACTCAAGTTTTGGTTTTTATAATATATAATATCAGTAATTATACGACATCCACACTTTTTCTATACATATCAAAGGGAATCGATGCATGAAAAGTACTAATTTATTATCTGGATCTCTTATTCTGTATGACTTTGTTCGTTGAAACAGAAATGGGTTAACATTTGATGAAAAAAAATTTGTAGCTGGCCCACTAAGGGATACTTAGAAGAATATATAACTGAGTTAATAACAATGATGACATAATCCGGCAATGTGACACATGAGTCTATTTATTATAATATGAGTCCTTATCAGTTTGTGACGGTCTACTGTGACAAACATACACTTATATCCGAGGAACTAAAATGGGTTTCGAGCCTTTGGTTCAAATTGTGTGAGCTAATGAAGGCAATATCAAACATAAAGCAAAATATCATTTGATGCAAGAGAAGTGAAGACAAATTCAAGTCAAGAAATAATTCCATGAATACGTGTTGTATTCAAAAAGCTTACCAGTTTGTCTTGGATTGCGATTCTCGGTTTCATGAATAATTTTCATCTCACCTGAACCTACACATACAAAGAGAGTATTGCCGATATTCATTGTGCTAGTGCTAATACATTACTGATCTCTGTGTTAAAATACTTCATAGGTTAGAAGTTAATAAACTGCTTTAGTATAAAATGGGCATATATCAATTGCTACGAAGATGAAGTCTAGCCTTAACTCTAAACCATTAACAAAATTTCCCAAGATATGATTTCATATATATTAAAGTTAACGTTAGTGTATCCCTGTAAAATTCTGTTCAATTAATGCACATTGAATAATTTGGATCTTGATTGTATGACCTATAAAATGATCTTTATCTATGAACAGCAACCGGACTAATATTCTCAGATTCACTTTTCACTAAATAACAGATTAACTTATTGAACATAATTTGTAATAGGAAAACCGATAAAAAGGAATGAAAATATTAACAATGTGAACTACGGAGCGTTAAAATATGTTGTTTTTCATGTTTCGTACAATTCATGATTTCATTCAATAAATATTTGTGATAAACAAAGGTTTATCAACAATAGGAATAGCAGAAACTGCTAATTAAACAAGCATTCCAGATCCCAGAAATATCTGAATTTACTGTATATGATTGAGTTTTCAACCTTTCCTAAATATTGCGATTGGAAAACTGAATCCAAAAGGCAACAGAAATTTGTTTCGTCCCATTATGAGAATCCGTCAGTAGTGAGTTCCCAGAAGCAGAACACTTTATCCAATTGAAGACATTTAACTTCAAAAGGTGTCACTAACCATTTGAGTCAGTGACAGTGTGCTACCAATAATCCAGTCGCATTCACGAAGAAGTTCTTCATGCAGGGCAGGACAATGCATTCGTTAGTTTTCCAGGCTGAATTCTTGGTTGACGCCAAATCATGTAAACACCTTTTGATGAAGTTGCGTGGATACCTGTTCGTCATGAAAACAATCATCAGATAGTTTTCTCCTTTCCTTTGCAAGGCTGATATAGTAAAGTTTGTCTTCACTTCTTTGAACAATGTTCTTTGACAAATCATGATTCTTCGCCAACCAAGAAGTCAACCTCGAAAACCAACAAATGGATTGTCCTATTGTATATGAAGAACGTCTCTTGAAATCGCTGCAGCTCACAGGTCCACAAAATCTCTTCACCCTCTATTATATTAGCTAAAAGATACAAAGATACAAAAGATACAAACATGAAAAACTACAAAAATCACTACATCAGACTGATTCATCATTCTCTTTGCATCCGTCCACATAAAAATCAAGTAGCAGTGAAGTGTCACGACGTGTCTTCACCAATATCAATGCATGCAAATCATTGTGGACATGAACTTGACTGAGAAAATGTGAAACTGCTGGATAGAGGAAATGTGAAGAGTGTCAGTGAAGTTGTAGAAGCTTGGTATTCAGGTGAGAGTCGAAGTTCGTTTCAACGTGACAACCATTAGGAATGAATATGGAGAGGATGGGTAGTTGCTGGCAGAAACAATCAGTCATTTGCAAGACAATCAGGATCACTTGTGGAGAAAGTCGCATAGCTAGCTCATTTTCTTCTGAAATTTGCTCAAATGTTGTCTAGAATGACAGTGAAAGCTTCGCGAATAGACCGTCCAGCTCAGAGTACAAAACACCTTCGAAATGATTCAATTTAGATTTGGACCAGGAAAACAATCACTCGGAAGATTGAATGACCAACTGGTCATGTTTTCAGTCAATGAAGTAGTTGACTTAGAGAAACAGTGTCTTTTAAAAGAACAAGTTGTTGATGAATCCGTCAAGGTCGTTGTGCCAATCTCTAATATCAACTGGAAGGTCTATTGGATACTGGGAATGTAGGTAGGATAACATATCAGTGAAGACTCTTTTCAACGGATTTATTCTCACGCTTTATGTATATATATATATATATATGTATCATATTTAAAGGCTCCAATCCATGAGGAAGTTTGATGTATAATAATGAGAGGTTGAAATGACATTACTAGTGCTCATATTATCCCGTCTTTGACTGTACCAAATTGATTGGTCTTTATTAGCTCATAGGTTCCAGTGGGATGTCTCAATATTGTCCGTATTCTCTTCTTTGATTTTAATGATGAATACTGGCAAGCAGGGGAATTTTAAACACGCATTTCGTCTTATTTCGGGCTCACTTGCAGGTTGTACTTGCCTTGTCAATTACTGTCTAATGCAAGCAACAACTTATAATTATATCCATCATCTAAGAACTAGTTACTATGACTCCATAACTTGGTGGATAACGCTCTGGCGTTCATCATTATGATTTACAACACCAAGGTGTAAAAAAATGTGCAAATATAATATATTTAGATTGTCCTACCAGAGGTTGATATCTGAAATTTTATAGTGCGTTTAATACAGATCACAAGAAACAAGATAAACATGAAACATGGAAGTATTATTTCTCATGACTTCGGTGCAAACACTGCCACTCAAGAACTTTTGATCTTTCTAGTTGGCGTAAAAGCAATTTCTTGAGCCTGAGATTATAATGTCACCTCCAGAGTCTGACATCAAAACCACTTAGCGAATGAGTGAGCATATAAAGTGTGGTTCCATCAAAAATCCGGTTGTATCTATAGTTTTACAGTAAGAAAGTTATGCCCAGTGAATAAGAGCGGTATAACTATTTGTTTGAACACTAAGTTATTCTCCCTTTTTACCCTCATATGCTGATCCGATATAATCCCCTACACAAAATTGAACACAGCCAAACGAACAGATTCATAAGTTAAAATCATGTCGTTTTACTTTACGGATCTCATCAGCCGTACATTTCTAGTTGAGAATAGTGAAAACTTATATATGGTTAGAGGGATAAGTTATGCTTCACACAGATATTGTGAACCAAATAAAGATTCAAGGGAAGGGGTCCCACAACATTTGAAAGGTTGCATAAAACCGAGAATAATAAGAAAAAAGCAGAAATAAATCTGATCAAGTCTCATAACACACAGCTGAGTGAATGCTGTGACCAAAGTGATATCGAGGTTCCACGGTGAAGAAAGATGAAGCACTGTCTAAATAGCATGAAACGTTTATATTGACCACTTTCGACTGAGAGAACTTCCGAAAAGCGTAACAAACTGATTAATTTGTACTTCTTTGTTATTCTAAATGACTTTGGGATACCTACTTTTGTGAACAGTCTTCATCACATGTTTGGCTGCTGTAGAACTAAAAGCAACATGATTGTACAACATGCTTGCCTTCACTGATTGATGTGAAATGGTAAATAGAGTTGGAGGTGTTGCTAGAAGAGCATCTATCTACTTTAGATTGTCTCAGCACGCAATGCTGCATTATGATACCAGTCTAGTAGAAGCGGAATTTCGTTCCAGGCATATTTTTTCAGCCTCTCTATTCCGGTACCTCATCTACTTTAAAAATCAAGCGAATAAAACTGGATTTAATCTCGATAGTCAGACGTTTATTTCTTTCATTTGGGGAACCAACAAGTATATTCTATTCAGGTTTTGATTGGATGCTAGGCAACTGAAGCATGGCTATGGGTCAGTTGGACTGCTCTTCATAATGTTCCGCCCAACGTTCTAGGTTTCTGTCCTAAAAGGTTAACATGGTCAAATCCTTGTGAGTGGTGCTTTCTATGTCCATCGATTTCTTCCTACCATTGTTCTTAACATGTCTCCCTAAATACAGACTTGAGGTTCTCGTCTTCCAGTTAGGCACAGAGAGTTTTCATTGTTGTCTTTTTCCTTACGTATAAGGGTTTGGAGGTACATGTTTGCATACAAACGCATAATCGATGCCCAATCAAGTACTTGTTGGAGACTGGCAGTCCTCCACTGATTTCCTTCAACTATGGGTTAAGGATTTACCTCCAATCTTTTTCCACCGTCGATTTAATATTGAAGGACTTGAAATAAAGCAGTGATTCTCCTTATGCTTTTAGCAGGTTTTATGAAAAAACAAGTAACCCTCGGGAAAAAGTTGGTAGGGGCGACCTATGTTTAATTAGATTTACTGGCATGAGATATCATCGACAACCTGAGGATACATATCTGGCAGATTCAGCTTTCTTACTTGAACAATGAAGTCACTGTCAAAAGTGACTACATCTAAACGTTTTGCTTTTTGATAGCTTTTAACAGAAAGATTTTGAATTAGAATCGAAGAGTGTCACTAGTTTTTTTAGTTAGTATCGAACCGTTAAGTTTGATAAGGCACGACTCGTCACTAACAGACATCCAGTCAAGATGCACTTTTCTTTATTCGATAACCTTGTCCGATACAAACTTCATCAAGCACACTAGAGTTAGCCAATAATTTTTGGCATCAGTTAGGCGGATTTTTCAGGTTTACGTGAGTTTTGTATGTTTGTCTCAGAAACAAGTTATACATTCAAAGCTCTCACACTTTCAACTAGCGATGGCTGTTTTCCTTCCTATTTATCACAGGTTTCCTAAAGTGAAAGTTTGAATGTAAAGTTGATCAGCACGGTTTTGAAATCTTGATAACAGCGTCTTACTGTATTTACTCATTAGTGATGGCAGGAAAGTCAGAAGTTAAGAAAGCTGTTAGGAGCTTGATTCCGACACCAGGAGAGAAAGAGACAAAGTGAGGAAGGTTGGAAGCATGTAATCTATCGGTAATTATCACTTGTTTCCTATGCTGTGAAAGTTTTTCTGTAACATTATGGCTGCATGCACTTACAAAGCCCATGAGACATTTGTTTGAGGGAGTTCACTGAAGGTCTTTTACAAAGTACTGGGTTAAGATTAGACTATGGTACTGACAAAAATGAAAAACCTATACTTCTGGCACCGAAAAGATATAGGAATGTAGGAGCACTCTACTTTTGAGCCTACCCTCTCATGATTTCTTGTTCATTTTTGCAAAGCAGTATCAACGTGGATTTCCAGCTATCCGCAAGAAGTAACTTCTTAATAGGTGTGTTCTAGAGTATTATACTACAGCATTTTATCTAACAAGTACTTCTTACCATTTCTAGGCACCCGTCTGATTTCCTCTGGTTGTCTGTTTTCAGAAATACGAATTATTTTGACCGGACCTAAAGTCATGGAAAAAATGATGAGAGCATAAATAACTTATGAATATATAAATGACAAACTTTCACTAATGAGTTCCTATCATCGAAAAAATAAATTTAATCCATACCCTTTTCTCTTGAATCCGGATAATGTATGCTTCTGACACTTTAGAAGGTGAAGTTCAACTTCTAAGACAGACATTTATCGCAAATGTATGTCTAGAGAGATTCATAGGTCACTGGTATCACTGATTGTAACAGTTTCAGATCTCTGAGAAGGCAATTATCACTTCAGATCTAGAGACTTCATTTATTGACATGCGTAAATAAGTATAAAATTTACGTAAAGTGGAGTGTATTGATGTTTTTGTCTAACCACTGTTCATCTGGTGTGTCTTCTGCAGTGCTTGCCCACGATCCTGCTATGACCGGTAGTGTGGCCTGACAGTTTACGAGTGATTAGACCACAGCAGTCTAAGAACAATATGAACCTAAAGCTAATTAGAAAGTCAACCACAAGTCAACAACATCAACAACAATGCCACGGACATGCAAAGACAAAAAGGGAAGACAGATCTTGACAGAGAGCTTTACTGTCTCAATAACAGTCAAAACATTTGAGAGCAATGCTGAATATATACATTTCTAAACGACCTTGACAGCAGTAAATCCGCATTAAGGTTAGGAGAGTTAACAACTAATCAGAGCTCAACCTTTAGAACAGTAGGAAAACAGCAATGATAAGTTATTTTAAGGTTATAAGCCAATATCAAGCAAACGTTAATCAAAATTAGGAGTGTGCAGCAAATCCCTCCAGGGATGGAACCTTGGAGTTTCAGGTTTTACAGTGAGCAGTGGTCATTATTTAGCAGCTAAAAGTAAGGCAGCGAGTCCAATCTGTCTGCAACTTTATCCTTGATGATCTTTTATACATTACGCGAATGAACAATGACATCCAGCAATGTGTGGTCTAATAATCATCTCTAATTTTCATAAATGACATGAGGTTTGTTAATTATTTCCACTAGATTTCAGCTTCTTATCATTACTGCTGCCAACTCCAGTTCAACCAATTGAATTTATCTTGTTTCGCAAACGAATTCAAACGTAAAATAGCTCTGGATAGAAGCTGCCTAATTAAGTATTCAGTATTAAAACAAATACATTTTGTGACCATAGACGTTACAAACTATGAAATGTAGTATATATCTTATTTCTGTTGTTGTTGAAGTTTTTGAATTTCAATTTTTATTTGAAAATGTCTTCTAAAGTTATAATTGCAGTAACTTACGTGTAGTAACATTGTTTGCATTGTTATATTCCCTTTGAATAGTGATGCCATCTGTAAGGATGCAAGCAAATCATTGAATAAGAGTGTTTAAGTAGCTTTAAAATGGACGATAAAGTGAAGACTAGTGAACCTTTGTAAACTGATATTTTCATGAACAAGTCAGACGTGATCATGTACATTTTCTGAACACACTTCAAATTGTGACCAAATTTTACAAATAATTTTCAGATTCAGTGATCCGTTTGTAATCACTTTCAAGATCCTAACTGGGTGAACTAATGTACCAGCATGAACTGTGTAAAACTAAATAAAAGAATACGCACGATACTTATACACATTTACAATCTAGTCTGTAGTTTAGCCGAATTCTTGTCTAAGATGTTCCACTACAATTTCGCAGGAAAAATTATTCTTTTGGGATGAGAATCATATTTATTAGTGGGAGTTGAAAAAAGAATCCATAGAAAGCAATCGAATATAAGATCTTTATTGTTATATTGACGTCTTATGTAGGTTGCAAAAGTTTAATTTAAGCACAGGTATGTCCCTTCATGTCATTTCTTATCAAACTTTACTAATGTATTAACCATTTATATATATCTGAAAACAGATTACTTCATCCCATTTTAAAACTTTACACGGACACAGTCTTCAGGAAAGAAATATGATCACCCTGTGATCTTTTCCGTCTTGTTATACAAAACACCTGGTTAACAATAATAACAGTCCATCAAATAACGGACTACTAACAAACTGATCTTTGGGATATAATTTGATGATGGTGGCTGTCAGTGAAATCTAGGATCTGTCTGACAGCCAATAACTAGATTCACCTACATCTCAGCTTGTTGGTATTTCCATGGGGACCTGAACCTATCACCCATGACTACGAACCCCATAGCGTTGTGCCCCAGGTTATCGAAACAGCAACTGTCATCAGTTCTCACCACTAACAAATTATAAAATAATGAATCCATTCCCATAACAGCCTTTATACTAATAGAGGTCGGTGAGTTTGATCTAGTATAAGTACAGATGAAGATGGCCAGGATAATAATAGTAAGCTACAAGGAATTCTGGCCTGATAAAGAAACGAACCAACAACACATCGCCTAGCAAATATGTAGAAGAAAGTGGAGATGGATTGGATTGGATTGGGCATACACCGAGAAGACCGATTGGGGACGTCATGCTCCAGGCCATGCCCTTGGGTGGAACCCAGATAGGGAACGACGAGATGGACGTCCGAGACGAGGGTGAAATGGATAAAATGGCAAGAGGAAGAAGTGAAAGCTTGTGGGCAGTCACGGAGCCAGCTTCAGAAGACTGCAGAGAACAGAGTGAAGTGGAGACGTGCTACCGAAGCTCTATGCTTTACCAGGAACTCAAGGGACAAATAATAATAGTAATTTAGATAGCCATGGAGGATAGTTTTTGGTGATATGTTTGGATAGAACATGATTTTTGTGGCTTATTTAACTAGCTTTGCAGGGATAAGTGAATTTTTAAACACACGTGAATGTATCCCAAAATGGTAGTTTATTCCTCACACATCCTCGGAACAACTTTTGACTGGAGAAAACAATACAAAGCTAGGGTTAAAGAAGGTCTTCTTCAGTGCTTTGCACAGTCGATTCTTCGGTATCTCTACCCATGCATCTCCCAAGAAAGCGACATTTATAAGTAGTAAGTATCTTCTTTGGAATCATAAGGGCTTCTCCCATGAAATTCTTGGGTCTCGTGTTCCTCTCAAAGAATACTGAAAGATAACCATCCTCAGTAAATTCATGACCAAATATTAGCTGTTTGAACTAAGTGTTCTGTTTTCAAACCTTTGTTAGATATTACGTCGACTACCTTTGGTATTATGAGCTGCTAACAACGTTGGAAGTAAGAAGACAGTGCTGTTCAGTGTCACATAGTTTCCAATATTTATTTGACCTAGGCTGGCAAGTGATGGATTTTGTCTTGATATCACTCAACCAGTCATTTGTTAACGAATCACTCCGTGGGTATTTAATTTGCAAATATTTACTAAAAGCTTATAATTAGATGACAATATTGTTGCATTTCGTAAAGTTTGCTGAAAAAATGGTAACAAAAGTGCAAGCTATGTTGTTCAGCAATCTCAGACTTGGTTGAAGTGATATTCTTACCTCATCGCATCCATTTGAAAAGTTTTGCCTACTTTATGCTAATCGTTCTTTGTAATCTACATGACATAAGAACATTCTGATATTTTAAAAGTCGAAGATTCCTTCACTGCTAAACAGTAGATCGAATAAACAGATCTCTTTGCGTTTCAATAAAACTGCATTATTTTAACAAAGAACTATGCTGTAGAAAAATGTCTGATAATGTTCCACATTGGTGTTTCAACTGCATTCGCTAATCCACAAAATACTTTTTCCAGTGAACAATTTATAACTAAAATTTAGACATTTTATACTTTATTCGTTTAGTAAATGCATCGACCACTGACACAGTATTTTAAGTGAGGAACATTTCGTACGTAATTTGTCATTCATAGGTACTCATGAATAATTATGGAGTAAGAATGCTGTTTCACTATATAATACATGCAATAAAAGTATAAAAGTTATACAAACCACTGCTTCATAAACATTTGCAATTGTTTTCTGGCAATAAACCTTCGCGCTTTGAAGTTATATGAGATTATTAATGCAGATATGTATTCTTTGAAACTGAGGTCATTGTGTAGCGATTCGAATTATCATTGGTACTAGTTCAAAAATCATATATATATTATAGTCTTATAAAACAAATAATAATTTCCCATTTGTATTTACTTTGATTTCTTTGTTTAATAGCATTTGAGTTAGCTAGACCATTATTCTGTTGAAATATTTGTGAGTTTCCTGGGAAATGATCAAAAAATGAGGAATCATTTGTATTCTTGCCAATAAAGTGATTAATTTTGCATAAAGAGTTAACAGGCGTATTGTCTAAGAATTTTAAAGTGATGTGCATTCATTTGAACTCATTAGATGTATGAGAGTCAGAGTAAGGCAAGTTCTCAAAAAAGTAAGATAAATGCTCAAATGTGATGCATTTTATGGATTTTAGGATGGTATTCATCACAAACTGATGCCAAATGGAAAACCATTAGAAAACCTTGGAGAATTAGAAAGCTCTTTCGTCCTAATATGGGACTCCGCCGTATTATACACCCAAGATCCCACCAGTGATCCTTTAGGACGTTAAGGTTCCGAGGTCATCAAGTTGTCATTGAGCCACTGGGTCGGAATCCACCGTTTGAAGTTCCCTACTTATATCGGGTCGTGATGCATTTTATATAAAGTACCAGCAGTCAGTAAACAAAAAGGTTTATTCTTATTGGTATTCATTGTCAAGATTTACCTCGAAATCCATATCTCCTTTACCAGTTGCACTCAAAAATTAATAGAGAAAAATCACCCTTACGGAACATGACAGATGCCTACAGTGAGAGGATGAATTAGCTATCAGGTAGTGATCTCACTGTCTTAATAAACTTCGCTCAGTGGTGCCTTTGAAGTGAAGACAGGAGTGAAACAAGGCTAATGTCCACTATCACCCATGATATTCCTGATTGTAATCTACTGGATCATGCAACAAACAGTGAGGGGTGTGAGAAGAGGGGGATACGCTGGCTGGACCGCGGAAAAGAACCTAGAACACTTAAATTTCGTCGATGACTTATGTCTCATGTCACATAAACTTGAAGATCTACAGGCAAAAACTAACAGGTTGACAGAAGAGGCAGCGAAGGAAGACGGAACTTTGAGTGGATATAGAGAAGACAGAGGTGATGAAGATACCGCACCAACAACACCAACAACAACAACAACAACAAACTCCAATCACCATCAACAGGAGAAACTTGAAGAAAGTAGTCTCATTCACCTATCTAGGCAGCACTGTTTCAACTACAGGCAGCACAGGCACACACGAGGATGTCAAAACCAGTCAGGATCCGAGAGACAGCAAGACAGGTATTCATTAGCCTGAAACCAGTGTGGAGGTCTTCTGCAGTCACCACAAAGCATGAACAACATCCACATTTTAAACACCAACTTCAAGTCAGTGCTTCTGTGTGATGGTTCGGAGACTTGGCTCGTTACGACAGGGATTTCCAACAAATTACAGACATTCATCAACAACAACTACCTACACTGACTCGTTACTGGAGCTCAGATGGCCAGAACAATAAGAATGAGCAACAAGGAGTTCTGTCTGTCAACGAACCAACCAGGAAGCTATCACTCAACAAATATGCAGTGGAAGGAAGTGGAGATGGATTGTGCATACACTGAGAATGTCGACTGGTGACATGACGCACCAGACCAGGGTGTTGAGTTGAACCCGGATGGGAAACGACGAGTTGGGCTTTGGTGTTGAGGTTGACATGGAGGAGATGGTGTGAGGAGGAAATGAGAGGTTGTAGGTTGTCTTGGCGACAGGTTCAAAAGATGTCAGAGAAGGGAATGTAATGGAGATGCGCTACTGATGCCGTTTGTTCAACCAGGAACTCAAGCGGAAAATAATTATAACTAGGTTCGCTATACAACTACTTTATAAATGGATGCAACACACAACAGTAACGGAAGCTGATGTTGAATAATAAAATGAAATACTGAATCTTTATAATTTCATTTTAACTAGTCTCTCTGTTCTAGTTCTATGGGAAAGGTGAGACAAACAGTGATATTTAGCAACAGATGGTATGTTAGTCTACTTTCCTACTTCGCTTCAGATTTTCTATTCGATTTCAACAATGTTTAAAACTAGCGTCATCACTGCACACAATAAATCTATTTCAAAATTAGGAAAGAAAGAACTTTTGGAAATCTATGTGAAAGAAATTCCATGTAATTCTTATTCTTCTTCCTTTGGGAAGGAAATTTTAACTTCACAGATTGAAGAAACACATTTTTATCAATTAAAGAGTTTCATTTTAGCAAAGTAAATAATACTTGAATAGATTTTTGTTTTTAAGCTAACAACTAAACTAGTTTTGAATAGCCTATGTAATAGCCGTTCTGCTTCTGTCTTCCGGGCTTTTGGTTTCGCCGATAAACGGTATAACTTTATACTGAGATGCTATGTATTTCATCCTAGACACCTAAAGTTCTTAGGTTGCATGGACTAAAAAATTGAACCTAATTCTGCTACAGATTATTTATAGATTTATTTGAGTCAAAAGTTGGCTTATAGATTAGATTATATTCATGTTGTAAAGGTAGTTCAACTTTTGGATTGAGGTGATCTAAGCAATTAGATTTTGCAAGTTTAACTTCTCGGATCAGCTGAGGCTTGAAAAAGAAGAACATATCTTCAGACTTTACGTCACTTTCAGATGGTGCGTTTAAAATGTCAATCACTGTGGACAATGGTGCATAGTGCACGTTGGACAGTGAACTTTAGGATTTTAGACAAAATCTGCTTGTTACATACAGGCAAAATGTGACGATTAACAAATTGCCACTACCGAAAGAAAAACGGTCCATTCCAGGTTCGAAATGTTGACAACCACATAAGCACCCTTTTCTGACCTAATAAACGTACAATTTAATGTCTATTAGGCATAGAGTTTCCGTAAATATAACAGCTGCCGTGGTCAACATTAGACCAACAAGATTGCATGACATAATTATCTTCAGTTATATGAATAAGGAAGTTTCGCAGTGACGAATACCGTAATGTAAAGTCTGGAATAGTGTTGTATGAGCAACGCACAAATATATGTGGAAGTAAATTTGTAGAACATTACTTAATGCAACTATTGCTTCGCTTCATTTAACCTAAATGAACGAAAAACAGTTGAAACGTCAGAATTCTCTTAAGATCATCCTGATGTTGCAATAACTTCCATTTTGGCATTTTGGGAGGAAAACTCTAGTGGTGGAATCTAAGTGAAATGCTTGATCTTATTTCGGACACAACAACTAAATATAATCAAATTGCAATGATGGTGTCTTCATTACAGTCCAAACACACCCTTATCGATCGAACACGTAGATCTTGGTAGCCAGTTATCTTGCGATGTGTGTTAGTCCCTATTACTTATATTTCTGGTCTTTTGTTGCTTACCCTAAGCACGAATCTCATCTTCTAGACAACTATAACCTACTAGGACAATGTAGAAATTTTGTATTTACGGTGGGAAGTACTCGAGTATGGTGTCACAGAAAGTATTCATAGAGATTTGAGGACATTCATTTGACAAGTCCTGGAAAAAAACAGCATGTCCTGGATTTCATCCCCACCTCCTATTACATAAGTTAGCATAGGATTATTATTCTTAAGATAAATATTTGTTCTTCTGCACAAAGATTCCCTTACTTTTTGATTGTCTCCATATTGGCCGAGGAACATTTTCAATGAATTGACCATTTACGTTTCCACGTGGAGCGTAACGTCCCACTATATACACATGTTTACCATCATCAGTATGCTTGATACCGAATCCCGCTCTTCTAGTGGACTTCCAGACAACTTGTGTAAAGTGACCTAAAATGAGAACAGATAATGTCTGCAAACAGCACAAGTATTTGTATTGCATAAACTTCCAGTAAAAATATGATAAAATCTGCTCTACATTGTCTTCCAATGGTTCATTTATGTTATGCAATGGGTTTTTTAATTGATAAGGCCTTCAAATGAAATAATTCCAGTGAAAACATGTACAGCTGTACATATGTGTAAAATGAAGAAGAAGCTAGTAGGAAAATTCCAATGTTAGAGCTTGTTGCATCATTTGAATTCAAAAGTCTAACTTATATGACTGTGTTCAGTTTGTAAGGGAGCAATAAGAAAGTTGGATGTTGCCCGTTTCTTGATAAAAGTAAAAGGCTTGTTCATTAACTGGTTCAAATAAAAATATCCAGAAACTCTACCATTATCTGTCAGATAGCTGTAGATGACAGATAAGCTTGCTAAGACCTTGATTCAACACTTCTAAATACTTATCAGCGCATGTTTGTATCCCTGGGGAAGTCTATCCGTCACCTACAGATAAAGTATATCTGATTTAGGAGCTGTTTTAGTAAAATATGAGACTACTAGATCATTTGAAAAGTGAATAAACCCTCTTAGAACTCATTATTCATCAGAGAATAATCTGTTTTACAGTAATTCAAACTCAGTGTTAATTTGCTTCCTTACATACGGTTTGTTGATTGGCTACTAGTGCAAAATAACTCATATTGGTAGTGGATTCAAGTCAATTTATGAATCAGTCATTTACTTCCGTTCAACTTGCGGAATTTTAAGAAAAATTTCAGTCGGTCTCATCATGAGATAAGCATAGCTCCAGATTAACTATTTTCCATCATATTAACTTCTCTTTCTATAACCAACATTCAATAGAGGTCTACTTGCCTTTACATACAACTTCAAGCAAAACACGCTTCCTTATTTGTTTATTCCTAGTATCTTTCAAGTGATAGTAAATACCTAATGCATCAGCTGTTTCTGTTTCTAAATAAACTGATCAAAGCTTTTTCTCTCTGATTGTGATATAACTCAATGTATAGTCCTATACGATGCCATATTTCCCGTGGGAAATTATCAATTAAACTTTAGATGGTTAAGGAGTTACTGTTTTGTACTCACAATCAAGAAAGACAACTTCTCCCTCTCCCGTCAAAAGTTGACCACTTATACAGTCAACCCGATTTTATGTCAACTACTAAATCCTATTTATTGCAACAAAACATGTGTAATTTACTGCCTAAGAGACCCTCTTCGGCCTACAGTCATACTATCTTGCTAATTTTGAAAAGTGAGGTAATATCTTCAAAGCCTATAGTATGTGTCTAACTTGAAAGCATAGCATCAAAACATGAAAATGGCAGTCTAGTACATTTTTATTATTCAAACATAACTCACTGGATGGTAGAAACATATACCACTTATACCATTAGTAAAACGTCCCTTTAGATACCGTTTTCAAAGTAATATCTAGCTGGGTTAATAAGCAGGAAGGGATTTGTGAAGATGTTTCTTATTTCTAATAGGTTTATGAATATTTGAAACTATATCATGAAACATTATAATAAGGTGTATTTTTACTTATGTAATCCCGGCGTAGTTTATTAGAACAACATTTCGATCTTGCTAGGAAGATCATTTTCAAGAGTATGAATCTGACATTAAGTTTTCAAGTTAATATTCAAGTTTTGGTACAAGCATCCGATTACATCATGATATGGAGCAAATATCGATATGAGCGAATAAGTAACTCGGTTCAAGAGGCTTTTGTCAGTTGTGCGAGTAAGGTGGAACATGAATAGGGTGGAGAAAATTTTTAGTTTATCTATGCAAAGTACAATAGCGTTGTCAGACATCAAGGATGAGAAAGAATAGGTTACTAGCTTGGAATGATGAATATTTGAACATCAGACAATATATGATAAGTAAATAATAATAATAACGACAAATGTACTTTTGATAACACTTGAAGTAAATTAAAAATCCCCACTCAACTCAAAATGGATTACGTTATATATAGAATGGTTCACAGAATGTATCTAACTCAGAAAGGAGCGTAAAATTGATAGGAATAGCAGGAATAGACAAGTTAAAATACAACCAGTATTTTTTAACGTGGTTAAGACGACTAATCGAAATAACATCAAAAACTATTGAAAAAAGAGCAAATTCCGAATAAATCATGTGGAATGAAACTGTGTTCTACCTTTTCTTCATATATTATTTACAACTGCCTATGCGAGTCATTAGTGTTTGCCATATTAGCAGGATGCCCAACTCATCTTTTCTGCCGACCGAAGAAGGATACGAACAGATGTGCAAAGCTTCTGCAATGGTCCGCTATTTGTGAGTTAGAAACCTCTATTGCAGGACTTTTGTCTGTTCAGATGATAGTTAATGTCCTGAATGTAGGGCCTGAGCCACGATGGCAGAGCTTTCTTCAAGTTTTTCTATATCAAAGGAATTTTTTGGCGGTTTCTTAGAACTTCGACCGTGTTTGGCTAGACGTGTTAGTACTAGACGTAATGTCTCTCCAATATATGTGGCATCGCATTCACTACTGTCTACCTTATAAACACAGTTCTGTTGTTTCAAATGAGGAATCAGAACCTTTAATTTACACAGGTGTGAGTGTAATGTATTCGTCACCTTAAAGAATACTCTGATGTTGTGACGGTTAAGGATACGTCTTATTTCCCCCGAAGTGGATGTTAGATAACGAGGCACTATAGTACTTATCCACTCTTTATGATTTGGCTTCTTCGTATCCTTATACGATAAATTATTTCAATAATTTTTAATAGCTTTCCAGATAGTTATTTTGTTTCAGGACATCCCAAATAAGTTGCGGATCTCATTGCTGAGATTCCACTTTGTTTAGTATCATTTGCCGGAACAGGCAGGCTTCAGGGAGTACAAATGATGTGCGGACCGAATTGCAAAGCTACGCGTCATCATCATAGAACACAGTATAGAATGGCATTCAACTTCCTACCTCAACATTATCGACTTTGAGAAGGCCTTTGACAGCGTCGACCGACATGTTATTTGTCAACTGCTTCAACACAACAGAATACCACAGACATTTATTAGCCTCATTCAACAACTAGATGAAGACGGCACATGCCATGTGATTCACAATGGGAAACTCAGTTCAGTGGTGACTTTGAAGTGAAGACAGGAGTGAAACAAGGCTAATGTCCACTATCACCCATGATATTCCTGATTGTAATCTACTGGATCATGCAACAAACAGTGAGGGGTGTGAGAAGAGGGGGATACGCTGGCTGGACCGCGGAAAAGAACCTAGAACACTTAAATTTCGTCGATGACTTATGTCTCATGTCACATAAACTTGAAGATCTACAGGCAAAAACTAACAGGTTGACAGAAGAGGCAGCGAAGGAAGACGGAACTTTGAGTGGATATAGAGAAGACAGAGGTGATGAAGATACCGCACCAACAACACCAACAACAACAACAACAACAAACTCCAATCACCATCAACAGGAGAAACTTGAAGAAAGTAGTCTCATTCACCTATCTAGGCAGCACTGTTTCAACTACAGGCAGCACAGGCACACACGAGGATGTCAAAACCAGTCAGGATCCGAGAGACAGCAAGACAGGTATTCATTAGCCTGAAACCAGTGTGGAGGTCTTCTGCAGTCACCACAAAGCATGAACAACATCCACATTTTAAACACCAACTTCAAGTCAGTGCTTCTGTGTGATGGTTCGGAGACTTGGCTCGTTACGACAGGGATTTCCAACAAATTACAGACATTCATCAACAACAACTACCTACACTGACTCGTTACTGGAGCTCAGATGGCCAGAACAATAAGAATGAGCAACAAGGAGTTCTGTCTGTCAACGAACCAACCAGGAAGCTATCACTCAACAAATATGTAGTGGAAGGAAGTGGAGATGGATTGTGCATACACTGAGAATGTCGACTGGTGACATGACGCACCAGACCAGGGTGTTGAGTTGAACCCAGATGGGAATCGGCGAGTTGGGCTTTGGTGTTGAGGTGACATGGAGGAGATGGTGTGAGGAGGAAATGAGAGGTTGTAGGTTGTCTTGGCGACAGGTTCAAAAGATGTCAGAGAAGGGAATGTAATGGAGATGTGCTACTGAAGCCGGATGTTCCATTAGGAACTCAAGGGACGAATGGAGATAATAATAGTATCCTTTCTGTTCTCGTCAACAGATTTTTTGGAACGTTTATTTCAATTTCCAATGGATGAGGCGAATCGAAGTCAAGATAGTTTTTAGAATGTGTATCTTTTCGATAGACATCAATATCAAGCGTTTCATTATTGTTTCATATCGTCTTGCAGTCTAGGAAAGCTAGCAGTCTGAATTCTGTTTCTGTTTCTGCCCCACTGGTTTGACGATAACGTGTGTCATGAAAACCTATCCACAAGTGAAAACAAATACTGAGTGAAATCTTTTACAACAAGTGATCGAATTACAAAGAAATTGATGGTTCATGAGACGATTTAACCAGAAATGTAAAAGTAAAAAGAATAATCACAATTTATTTCTTTATCAGTTACAAATCGATCAGAATTTGAGTAAACGAGGAAAACGTTACAGTACCATGTATGTTGTGCTGTTTTTATTGATTTTCTTAAGTCTTTCTTTACCTTTATATTATCTATCAGGCGTTATGATAAACAGATAGAAGAGATCAATGTAAAACCTAGTCTAGAAGTAGGTAGCGAGAAAGGGACATTATTGTAGATCGAAGTATATCACACAAAAAAGGAATTTAAGAGGTAAGGTTAATTAAATGCACCGAGACTCGACAATGCCAATAAATGAATACATCTGCACTTTTGTTACCGATTTTTAGCCGTCACCAAGGGTCTCCAACTACAGATTCCTATCATTTTGTTGACCTTAACTTTGTGATTAGAAAAGAATGGAAGATAATGTGTGAAATGATAAATACTACCGTTGTTATAAGAATACTCCAAGCCACAAAGTGGAGATTAACGTGAAGCCAG